AATTCCCAACTCGAACCTGCAATTATTCAAATATACCTGCAGATTAAGGTAGCGAGAAGAGAAATTTTCACTTTTTTCTTGATTTTTCAAAAATTTATAAAACGGTTACTTTAGACCTTGATACATCATCCCAGGTTTACAAAAGACCGAAATTGCGAAATAACGTTGCTTAAATTAGTGTTTTAAAACGCTAGCAGAAAAAAAACAACAACTGCCGTTTCGTGGATATTTGCATAATGTTTATCTTTGAAAGGGTTTAAATGATAACATCTTATATGTATACTCTGTTGTTGACGATTCTGATATAACGGGTGATAAGTTGTTTTAAGTCAAACCAACAGTTGTAGCAAGTATTCGATCCAGGGCAGTTTTTTATTTTCAGCCGCACTGTATGGAATCTTAATAGAAAAACAGCCGTGTACTTTGGCGATCGTCCCAGACCCGGTCACGGACCGGAAAACCTTGTTTACGGAATACAATCTGTGTGCCCTCTAAATTCATGATGAATCGTTCTGGTTCAAAATAATTACTTTGGTAAGTTGTATTTGAGAATAACCCCCACCGAATGGATTTCTCAAATGTTGTATTTAAAGCGTCAGCTATATCAGCGGGAGTTCTGTTTTAAACATGTTTTTGATTTTCACACTAGTAGACGGCATGGCGAGTTTTCTATTCGATATAGAAAGAGACGTTATTTGATACTTCACAGTGAACGAGAAAAACACTGTCTCGCTATACCCTTGGGGGTCTGCCTGGATAAATGTTAAAAAGAATCGTTGGAAACACTTTGAAAAGAAGATTCGGATGAAAACACAGCATGAATGGGTATTTCTCGTACCCACGGTCAGTAACCGTGTCGTACCCAATAACTAGTCACTATGATATAACCATATAACAAAGCCACCGTTCCGCACACTTTCCATTGGACATTAAAGCGGGAGGGTCGTCACCTGCGCACGCGCGGGAATTGGGTCCCAAGCGACGATAACAACACACGCTAAAACGCAAAGGCTCATGGGTAGACGCTTGTTTGTAAACACGCTATGGCCATCTGACGCATGCGCAGGTGACGACTCTTCGCTTTAACATTTATAGGGTAAAACGGAGCTTACTGTCGCAATTCATGGCAGTTTGAAGTAATCTTAAAAACCAAGTTAAAGTAATTACGAATGTCCCATCACCATCTTCCTGTTATATAAATACTAAGTGGGGCATTACTATTGGGTTAGAATATAGTAGAGATGACCTACTTGGAGTGGAGCCTATGTTTCGTTTATACGAGTGAATATTGAGATGTTGAGGTGATCTGTAGAATAACTATGTTACGCCCTGTTTGATATCGTAGCCTAACTCTTACGACCGTTCGTTCTTGATCATTCGACTAATCATTGAAGTCTGCAATTGATTGATTTACAATTGATCACACTTTTTGTAACAAGTTGTAGTGACCACTTAATTTTTTTCTACTCAGTGTGATGTATTTATTTTTAGAATAAACTTGAATATGGCAGAATACTAGTATAATCATAATAATGTATCATTAATAAGTGTTTGATAAGTGTTGAGGTTATTACGAGGATACCGAAAAGTATGCGCGAAGACAGTACAGCGGAAGTATCGACCGAGGTGGATGCGGCCGTGTATTGACCGTGCATACTTTTTCTTCCAAGGATACATCTGGGAATGTCGAAATACAAAAAATTTAGAACAGATTGAGCAAACTTTGTATGGGGTCCGGTCAAACTAAACTCTGGGGGCTGCCATGTTTGTTTGTATTATTAGAGGACGCTTACGCGCGTAATTGTTCATTATTTGGAATTCGCATTTCCTTATATGGCAGGATGAAAATACCCCGTAAAATACCGCAAAATTACAGCACGCTGTAACTTATGGCGTTACGGTGACATATGTATAATAATGTATAATATTCAATTCGCACTGTAGGTCACATGCCCGGACGTACACTGATATTAGTAGATTTATGATTGAGGTAATAAAAACAACCAATCGAGCAAGTACAACATATATAAACACGTAATTACAGAAATTAAAGTGGTTAAATAGCTCAATGCGTTTCACACAAAAGTTGCTAAAATGCGCAAAATAGAAAAAAATAACATTTAACCTCAGACAACCAATAAATTTAGTTGTCTGAGGTTTAACACATCTCACTGAATAATACTTTGAAATATGTACATTACTGTTGGAATATGACTGTTTGAATCAATTTCTGTTACCAAAGTGAAAAGATGCCTAACTGACAACATAGATCACTCGTTCTTGGGTTGGAAACCCTAGAGGAATCAAAGGCGGTTTCTGAAATATGGGAGTGGTCATTTTTGTAACTCGTAATTCAGCATCTCATTAGTGATCGTTATTATCATACAAGGGATAGTATCATCGCCAAAATCGTGCTCTTTTCAGACCGCCACATTCTTGAAAGATTTAAACAAATATGTGTTCATAATGTAAAATTTGAATGTACAATGTTATCGCATATTAAAGTAATTTAGCTACTCGTGTTTCACCAGCACTACGGCGAAGTTGAAACCTTTTTAAAAGTATGACATCGATTCGAGGTCGAGAATTGCAATAAAATAACATAAAATTGAAACTGGCGTTTCAGGTGGCTTGCTGGATCAAATATTCTCGAACAGCCCATTCTGGAAAGATACCTAGCTGCCGGATTAAAAATGACTAGTTTCAATACTCCCTCTGGTGGTTTTGTTTCCAGATCATGCCGTTGTTTGCGCTCTTTTCATTAGTGCAGTCTCCGAAGAGATGCTGAATTGTTCGAGTTACGAGTTGCCGCGTCCTGTTCGACATGGGACTCATAGCGACGTATACAACGTATACATTGTTTATTTACATGAATTTCGAACACGCGCTGCGCGACGACCACCGCGCTTTAACGTTCACATTCAGTAACTCTAATATTAATTAACAGTTAACACAATTTCGAGTCACGGCAACGTATATTTTTGTTATTGTTCACATCCACAAGTCTTTCAATATTTGACCACGCAATAAGTTTGCTTGTTTCAACTGTTGGGCCTAGTCGATGTGCGCGTTTACAATGTCGCAACAATGTTACTGTTATTATTGCAACAAAACGCCACAAACTAATTTCACACGCTCTCGCAGTACAAAGATGACTCCGATGACTCCGATGACTGCGTGCGTTTCGAAATTAACAATGAATCATTTACCATTGACATGTACCATTGTATATTTCCCGTAATTCGAAGTTCGTTAAAATTATAACTAAAATTTGAGTTACAAAATTTGAACGTTAAAAAAAACAAATCTATCTATAAATCTATGTTGCTCGTAACTCGAAGTTTGGTTAACTGTTATTTAAAGTTCAAGTAACTAAATGTAACTCGAAGTTCTGTTAATTGTGAATTGCGCATGAAATTACAATTTGGGCGTGGTTTTGTAAATGTGGGCGTGGTTTATGATATATGGGTGTGGTCATTTTTGTAACTCGATGTCCGCAACTCGAACAATTCAGTTTCACGCCTCCGATTTATTAACGTTTTTGTAAGTCATCATCGCATTTCCAATTATATTATTAGGTCGGCGTTTACTAAATGGAAATGGTGTGAAACAAGCTCGTTATATGGCGTCTGTTCCGGCAGTGGAAACTTTTAAATATGGCAGCATTCAACTCATTAGTGGTGTAGTGTTAGGTGTGGCTTGCTGGGGTTTTGTAAGTACACTCCTATCATACATTTTTTTCCGATTCTTCCATACAAATATCGCTACTTCCTGTATTTCGCATTCACATTTGAGGTAAATTTTATGTTTTCATCATGTATATCGGACCTCAAGTCGTTATTTCTGATAATGTTTTCGATAGAAGGCAATGTATTGTAATGCACATCAATAGAACCTTCATTCACTTTTATAAAACTACAAGTCTGGGGACTTTGCTGCCTCCAGGAACCGAGCGTTATAGGCAATTTAATCGACCATTGTACTTCGGTCGGTAACGACTGGCCGCGTTAGACAGGTGTCCACTCTATACAGTGTATTTTACATGTAAATCTGGTTAAGACTGTTCGGTTGTGGTCGCTATACTAGGCAGGCGGCTACCCTATAGAAGTGGCCGTCGACACAGGTTTTACTGCATTTTGTTCCTACCTCAGACAACTGATAAACTGATTCATTAGTTGTCCGAGTTCCTATTAAGGAATGATTGGATTTGCCATGTACCATTTCACGATCAGTTATTTACACCAATATTTTATGTATTTACTTGAAAATAAAGCTTTTTGTTTGTTTTTTCAAGGTTTATTTTCAGCTATACCTTCCACATGGAAGTAACCCTCCGATCTGTTCGTGCCCATTATTATTCGTTAGTTCAAGTTTCAAGTGAGAACGCCCAAACACATTACTAATCAAAGGTTGTTTTTTTCTTTTCTTTGCCTTGTTTACGTTTAATTCTCACAACATTTTTTTTTTCAAATTTACAGATTTACTCGAAAGGCGTCGAGCTCTGTCTAGAGCCATCTAGAAATGTCAGAATTGAAGATTGGCGAACGCTCAGTAAACGTGACTAAATATTCCAAGAAGCGAAGATTTAATTGGATATTAGACAGAGGACTGGAATGTGGGATATTTTCCCGACATGCACCAGGAACGTCAGCCATAAAGGCGTTAATTAGATTAGATATACAACTAGATAATTGTAGTTTTTGTATAAACAAACCTCCTGTAAAATGTGCCATACCGGTGAAATGAACATTCACTGTACATTTCACTTGTATATTTACAAATATATCGGGTCTTGCAGGGTATTTTATCTTTTGTACACTTTTCGAAATATGTTTGAACACATTCATACTCCTTTTACCGTAGATCAAATGCAGCGACTGCAACTTTTGTTGGTATTATTATTAAAATTAAAATTTTAAATGCGTGTTCGTTTATCTGCCTATTCTAAAACATTTCATTCACACCACGGTACATATTGTAATTTCGTTACAATGTGATAGTCTCACACTCGCACGCACTCGTGTCATTACGATAGTTACTCAGTCACATGGCCAGGTGAGATTCCCTCGGTCTGTACGTCGAATCGCCACATCGTTCCAACCAATCTCTGTGAAGGTAGGGAGTTTCTGCCAGCATTTCCGACCCCACATTGTGCAGAAGGTCACTGGTGAACTTTAAAATCGTCTCAACACGCCCCTGTCGCTGCACTCTTGAATTAAACCTCGCTACGTTTTACTTTTGAAATATACACGTACATTACTACATCTATTGAAAAAATGGTAATTGTTGGTACTTTATTCACATAGCTGTAATCAGCTGAAATATACATACACGATACATTCCGGTTTGTTGTACGTACTCAGTCACATGGCCAGGTGAGATTCCCTCGGTCTGTACGTCGAATCGCCACATCGTTCCAACCAATCTCTGTGAAGGTAGGGAGTTTCTGCCAGCATTTCCGACCCCACATTGTGCAGAAAGTCACTAGTGAACTTTAAAATCGTCTCAACACTCCCCTGTCGCTGCACTCTTGAATTAAACCTCGCTACGTTTTACTTTTGAAATATACACGTACATTACTACATCTATTGAAAAAATGGTAATTGTTGGTACTTTATTCACATAGCTGTAATCAGCTGAAATATACATACACGATACATTCCGGTTTGTTGTACGTACTTGTTGACTAGAATTAAATTCAACAGGTGTTAGAATCGTAGAAAAATGGCTTATGTAATTCTGACATGGTATACTAATGAACATTGGCAACGATCCGTTCTCGACAGTCCCTCTACCCTGATGTTTTTCCCCCAACTATTAAATATTAATGATTTAATCAAATGCCGTAATGCATTTGCGAAATGCCGAAGGCATTTCTAGCGGGGCTGTAAGGTCAAAGTCTCATTTTTTTTACCTCTAAGACAGTGCATGTCGATGTACGACAAATATCTGGTAAACGGTTCTTTGCTTAGCAAAGCTCCGACGAAAGTCGCGACTTGAGACATAGTTAGTAATTTCATTACGCCATCATGATTCTACCAGTCAATTACCTTGATATACCACAGGAGAATTTCTCCACTGTGGCGAGCGATGGCGTAGTGGTCTATAACAGTACCTCTCGCCTAACTATAACTGTCCTCGCTTTGTAGAAGTCTTCTGTATTTCGCAATCGAGTTGCGGCATTTGATTAAATCGTTTTAGTTGAAAAAAAACCATTGAAATAGCTTTAACACCCCTTGTCTGTTTAAAAATTTGTTAACATACTCATCACCTTGTTTTTGTCCTCTCAACGATGTCTACAGTTTTACCATGTCTGCATTATCGTAGATGAAGGTCAAGGTATAAGAGGAAAATGTCTGTCCCCGTAGCTGTCCATGTCTCCGTCGTATAACTTTTTCTTGTAGTTACTCGTATAATTGTTGTCCAATTTCTTTCAAACTTACATTAACCAGTTTAGGATCTCAGCCATATTCGATTTTGATATTTAGAGGGCTAATTGAACTGCAACTGATTCCCCCCACCGGGATACACATAACCATAGGCGGAATGCTGGAGGTTCGCGTTTTAGAGGCGATGGAAACTGTTGTGGAAAAGTGTGGAAGCTCACAGTGAGTGTTGTGGCGTCTGATTGGAAAGATGTGTCAATCTTTCTAGTTACCAAGAGACAGCAACAAAGTAGTGTATTGTGATTTGTTAGCGTCAATATCGTGGAATGCTTTTTTGGTAATGCCTCCTGATAAAAATAGGGCGGATGGAGTAGTGACAATTGCGACTGACTGGGGCGAACTGTCATGAATTAGTTTTCGCGTATCTGTGGACCGACTTGTTTAGCTGATTACTAGCGAATGGCTGTGTTAGATCTTTCATCATTTAGGCTCATGCAAGGTTCTGGACGGAACTTGACTGAGTGATTTGGAACTAATTACGATATAACCGTCGCCATCCGGACCGCTATTTCTGACAGTTGGTTATTCGCAGTTAGTAATATAGTGAACGATTAATCAAAAGATATGACGTGGCCAGTACTCAGTGTGATTGGCTATGTGTTAGTTGAATGTGTGAAGGCCACGCCTTAGAGTCTTTTAACTGCTTTGTAATTTTTGATATGTAATAAACAGATAAGTCTAAGTTCTTGGTCACAGAGAGAGAAAGAGAGAGAGAGAGAGAGAGAGTTCCACGAGGCGAGAGAGTCTTGGTCAGTGCTGGGGAGAGACCCCGAGGAGGCAGTTTGCCTCGAGGAGTTCTTGATGTGGCTAATGACTAGCTATTGAAACGTATTTCGTTGTGTGTGTCTTATTTGACTGTAAAGCTTAAGTGACTTTCCCGGTCCGGTAGCTCAAGCAGACGAGATATAGAGAAAAATGAGATTTCCCCCTAACACGTATTGGAGAACCCCAGACCAGAAGAATTTCCCCAGTGATAGAACTCTGGACGGGAAGCTGTTTAAGTTTTGATGAACTTCCTGGCTCTGAAACGAATTGGCACCAGGTCTCTGCTGGGTTTACTAGACAGGGTGGGTTCTGTACATAATGGGATGGAACTGTACAGGATGTGAACACTAGTATTCAACACATTTCCACCTTCATTCACCATTTACACGACTTACCACTGGACTTGTTTTAGCCTCTTTTGTGGTTATGTCTTGAAATGAATGAGAAAAAACAGTCAGCAGTCAATGCTGGAACTTTGGCTGTTTTAAGTTAGTTGTGTTGACAGCCTGTAGCATAGCCTGGTTCTTTAAATCAATCTCAATAGATACATTTATAGTCTTAACCACACCAGCTACCATCTGACAGTTTAAATGAGCAAAAGACTTTTCATCAGGTCAGTATGCTAAAAGGTGGTACCAGTAGATCTTGCTCATACAGAGCATAGATGGGTTAATGAGGCCTGGAAAACCATAAGTAATTGATACAAGTCTGTAGACATTATCCCTAGATGACAAAAAAGCATCCGACACGAGCTGCTTTGCAAACTGGGTGCGACAATGGGATAAAATAACCATGTAAAGCCATTCTTGAAAAAACTCCACTTCTCAATGTAGACATAGTCAATGCACAAGTTACGTGGAGCAGTTGTCAATGACCTCAAGTTAAGTCATGTTCAAACAGACTTAGTCAGTAGAGACATTTCGAGCTGTAGGGAATTAATAGACAAGCATGCAGAACTGTTGATGTAGGTGATTGGAAATTTGTGTGATCGGATGCTGAGGCGGACAAATGATGTAGTGTTTGTGATCCAACCCACAGAAGACTTGAACAAATGTGATTTCCCAGAATTGCCTGTATTTGTAGTTGCACGTGTATCACTGCCTAGAGTAACACCCCAAGACATGTTGGGTCACTGCTGCAGTGTCACTTAGACTTAAAAAGCAAGGAAGTTCAGCAAACATGGTGAATGATTCCTCTGCTGACTGCACATGGAAGGATGAAACAGGTGAGCTCGAGCTTCAGGGTGGTGTAGAGATAGTAGATTTAACTGCGAAGACTCTGGTATCAACAATCTTGTCACCGTTACTCTTCAATAGCTTTACCACAAATATTTTTTTTCAAAACAGCCAGAAGTACTATATAACTGAATATCTCATTCTGTAAGCATTGCAATGTGGTCCTCAAGTGCTTGCTTTATGACCTCAACATGTAGGGCAGACTCCAGTAGCAATACAATGTAGTCTTTTCACATCACCCTGGCATAGCTTTAGCACATAATGAAATTGGATACAATCTCATCAACTACAGAAAGGTCACTCGGAAGTACTACCTCGATCTGTAAGCATTGCAATGAGTTCCTCAAGTGCTTGCTTTATGACCTCATCATATGGAAAACAGTCAGTACAAGTAACCATAGCAGCCAGCGTGGATTGTTTTAGAAATCTAGATTAGAAAGTTCTTGTCCTGTGTTTTTTTGACAAATGTTGAACAACCATCATGAATGTGAGGGTAAGATCATTCAACTTAATGAGGGGGGTGACTTTTATTACTGTTCATTATACAAACACACATTACACCTGTGTTTGAATTGTTTCTTTGCTGGGTCAGTATTAGTAACTTACATATTTATTTTCTACATTCTAATTAGGTGATTGCTATCAAAATAATATAGAGGATTAATCTGATTAATCTGTCTGCTATGATTTCCCCTATCTAGTCAATATTTCAATCTATGCAATCATATACCTACCCTATTCTATGACCTGCCCATCCTTGTACATATACAGAGCAAGCCATGTTTAGTTTAACTATGTTAACTGTTGTACGGTTAATTTACATGAAAAAGGTCTATTCTATGAAGGATGCCAAAGGAAACCAAATGCTTTATTCGAACATTGGTATCCACAATAAACTCTATGAAGTGTAATTTAGACAGCTACCCAGTCTTCATTTTTTTTAAATATATTTATTTTTCCATGATGTCATCATGTTACATTTAGTAATATTGCACGTAACAGACTTCTATAATGTTGGTCAATGTAATCAAGGACACAACTTCAAAATTTGAATACAGAACATACAATAATGCTTTCAAGAAACAAGGTATCTTTGGTAATCTTGCGTTACTGTAAACAATATATTGATATAATGCTCCAATATGGTTTACAGTGCACTGTTGTTGTCTTTACTTGTACTGTAAAACCATTGAATTTAAAATCTAGTTAATGCATTTGTATGATATTTGCTCTGTGTCTACAGTCACACTGAGTTTTATTTTAGTGATCCTATGCAACTTATTCCCTACGTAATTGGTACGAGATGCTCAAGTGTTCAAGTTACGAACATCGAGTTTGGTAAACATCAAGTTAAATGTGGACGCTAAACAACAATAGCAATTTATTTAGCATTTTAACTTGAAGTTTGATTAATTGTCAATTAAACAGTGAGGTATAAGTTGGGCGTTGTTTCGAAAATATGGGCGTGGTCATGTTCGTAACTCGATGTCCTTAATTCCTACAATTCAGCATCTAAATAGTACAACCTCGCGGTATTATGAGAATAATAACTAAGAATACATCCAAATATGGGAATGGAATAGATGTCGCATACGACTTATGTACCACTTTCGTGTCACTGAGAATGTTCTAGAACCGTTCTGTGTCTGGGTGGAATATTCTAGATTTTTTTTAGAAACTGGTTGAATAGGTAATAGAACACTGTAGGAGGCAATAGAAGGTAATGGAACATTCTAGAAATTTGTAGTAAGTTCCAGACTCATTATGTATGCTGATGTAATGGTCTATTTATAGACAGTGGGGGTATATATAGGGGAGTTGTTCAGCACTGAGTTCAGATCGGGGATCTCGTTGAATTGTATTGGAGTTTAAGTATCTAGTCATTGGAGTAGTGGAGTTTTACCGCGTTATTGTACTTGATGTTTGCAGAGTATAATAATACCAGTACCAGTTGAAACCTCTTCTGTTGGCTCCGTGTTCGTATTTTATCATCGCCGCCAGGGAAGTCTTTCTGTTACTGTTGCCATTTTGGTATTTGAACCATCACACCTGTACTATACCAATTACGGTAATATTACGTTGCGTGTGACAATAGACCAAGAGTGTTACTAAAGATTTGAAGTGAACAAGTTATTGTTTTGCAGATTCCGCTTTTAGCGATTGTTCTTTGGCAAAAACGAGTAAAATATCCATTTTGTTTTCAATATTGACAATGGTACGGTAACATACAAATGATCAGCACCAGCAAGGTTGCAGAATATTGATATCTCTAAATTCACATGCACTCAAACATAAAATACTGAAGTGAATCTATGACAAGTATATTTTACGTACACTTCACTTGTAGTCGCATGTGTATCACTGCCTCGAGTAACACAGTGAAAATACAATATATGACTGTTATTTATAAGTTATACTGTCAACCAGAATATACATATATCACATCGTAAATAATAGATTTGCAATATCAAAATTATACAGTTAGTCTCAAATATTTATAAACCTTTGTTAAAAAAACAAGAAAAACATTATCGGGTAATTTTATATCTTCATAAATTTTTTCAAAATTATACCCTGTGTATGTAAATGAACATAGAGGTATATTAACATTAAAATAATATCAACCAATCACACACATGTTCACTTGTGAGTGTATTCTGACATGTACCGTATTTGCTCTATTAGTAGTGCATGCGCTTATATGTAGCAAGTGACCTTAAGGTCGTAATAGCTCTGCTGTTTTAAGCAGAGCACAGTCTAGCACTAATAAATGCATGCATATTGTATGAACAGCATAGTGGGCAAATAAATAACCTTGGCTATATTTAAGTCCTGTGTCATTGATTAGGATAAGTTTAATAGAAGCCAAGTTGTGGATTCATCAACTCCAGTTATTGGATATGTTTGTAGAGTGTTCCCTCTTATGTCAACGCATACCAAATCAAAGCAATCAGTAGCAGTTTTCAAGAATGGCATTTTCACCAAGAATGATAAAAATATTCGCCAAAATTAGAGAATTAAAGATATCATCACGAAATGAACAAATCTGAGAGAGGTCCACATGTAGTATCTATATATGTAGTATCAAAGCAATTGGACTTGCGGTTTTTAACAAGAAGTCTAAAATATCACTTTTTACCAAAAATGACAAAAATATTCACCAAAATTAGAGAATTGAAGATATCAACATGAAATGAACAAACCTAAGAGAGGTCTACCTAAGGTACATATACACCAAGTATCAAAGCATTCAGGCTTGTAGTTTTCAAGAAGAAGTCGAAAAAGTAAAACATTGATATCATGATCAAATCTCATAGAGGTCCACACCACACAAGGAACATAATTGTACCAAGTATAAAAGCAATCAAGTTTTTAAAAAAAGTTGATGTTGTTGACATCAATGAATAATCACCTAAATAGTCATGTTTCAATGATTTGGACAATGTGTGCCTTTATTAGAGACATGCTTTTAATAGAGCAAATATGGTAATCTAATGAGGATGAAAAAGTGTACTAGGGGTAAATAATATGCACAATCGTGAGTTATGTGCGAGTAAGTTTTGTAAAGTATTACTGTAAAGGGGTTAATTATTCACTGGGTTTTAATTTTGTTTATTTCGCTGACTGGAAAATGCGCTATATTAAAACCCAGTGAATATGTAAAATTTAGCATAGAACACATTATCTAAATGACGAAACTGAATTTAAAACCCACTGAATATGCCTGAAATGATAAATCAGTGAAATTTAAACCCAGTGAAAATTAGTCATTTTACAGTAATTTGATGATGAACAGCAGATTTCTCAGAAAAAGATAATGGTTCTTATGCACTATACAACAATATAAAGATATATGGTTTTTGTAAATATGCACATAATTTTTTATGCCATCCTGAGAAATTAGATTATAACACAAGTAAAATAACAGTTACAATAGCAATAGTAATACAGTACTGCAAATAAAAACATGTGATTACAACTGAATGAACCAATATATAACCTATTGAGAGTTTGTTGAATACACTGTAATAAACATACTGTATTTCCTCTATTAGAAGCACATTTTCTTACATACAAATCAGTGATGTGTCTGTGACCAAAATAATTCACCTTTTAACATTACAGTACACAGTGAAAGAAATTTTTGATTTGTGCAGCTTTTATAGTAGATGCGCTTCTAATAGAGCAAATACAACACTCAAGGAGAGGCAGAAATTCACTCACTAACAAGTGTGGCTTTAGAGGAGGAATCTTGCAGGTGATTGTCAGGTTGATGCCTGTATTTATTATGGTAGGATATATGGTAACACAAGTAACTCTATCTTGTGACAATTTATAGATTGCCCTCTGAATGGCTCTATGCTGCAACAATGTTGTAAGAAATTGTGCCGACCAGATTGCAGTGTTTTGAAACAAATCTTGCAGACCAGATGGCTCTACGTTGTAACAAATGTTGCCCTTCCAGATTACAATGTGTTGTAACAAATGTTGCCCTTCCAGATTACAATGTGTTGTAACAAATGTTGCCCTTCCAGATTGCAATGTTTTGTAACAAATGTTGCTCTCCAAATGGCTCTATGTTGTAACAAATGTTGCCCTTCCAGATTGCAATGTGTTGTAACAAATGTTGCCCTTCCAGATTGCAATGTTTTGTAACAAATGTTGCTCTCCAAATGGCTCTATGTTGTAACAAATGTTGCCCTTCCAGATTGCAATGATTTGTAACAAATGTTGCTTTCCAAATGGCTCTATGTTGTAACAAATGTTGCCCTTCCAGATTGCAATGTTTTGTAACAAATATTGTCACCAGATTGCAATGTTTCGTAACAAATGTTGTCGACCAGATTGCTCTATGTTGTAACAAATCTTGCTCTCCAGATGGCTATCTTACCATCCATACCCTCTGCACCTGTCATCACATATCTATCCTCAGCCGTACACATTGACCGAATCGCTGCTTCGTGTGCTATTAACTCTTTCTCGTGGGAAAATGTACGAGTATTGAACACGTGTATTGTTCCGCATTTATCACCAGCCCATATCTACAAAGTAATAAACAATTTATGGTTATATTTTATTTTATATTAGTATACACCTGTCACTGTAATGCCATAAGTTACAGCGTGCCATAATTTTTGTGGTATTTTACGGGATATTTTCATCATACCATATTAGGAAATGTGAATTCCAAATATGGAAAAGATTAAGCACGTAAGCATCCTCTAATAATAAAAACAAATATGGCTGCCACCAGGGTTTGACCAGATCCCACACAAAGAAGTTTGCTGATTCTGTTTATTCGGCATTCCTATGATGTATCCTTGGAAGGAAAAGATGTATAATAATAAGGTTATTACAAGGATACCTCAAAGTATGCACTCAGACAGTAAACCATCGCATCAGTCGATACTTCCGCTGTAGTCTTCATACATACTTGAAGGTATCCTCGTATTACTCTCATATTAATGTTATGAATCTTAAACATACGAGTCAGCAAAATTCTGATTGTTTTACCAAAAAAGAAAAGAGTAGTAAAAATAACGATATCAGCTGAATCATTCAAAACAAGACATTGAAAATTACACAATCCCCGTTAAATTTGTGAAAGTTCTCTTTGTGCTCGTCATATTAAAGTGGAGGGGTTGTCGCGAGCGTGTCCTTGAAACTTGAGTTCCAAGTGGCGTATACAACAGATTGTTTATTTACATCAAAACACGTGTTCCATGTAGTAGTAATATGGCCAAAAATAAAAACAGCCGTTATTCGGCCATCTTTGATCTGATTATGAAATACACTGATATGTATGATGTATGTGCCAAATACGAATGAAAATGGTACATAAATTGCGGAAATATCGGCCATCCTTGACCAGATTTTGAAACAAATTGTCATGAACATGCATCCTAACGTGTATATAAAGTACATGTATGTGCCAAATTTGAATGAAAACTGACAGAGCATGTCCAAGATACCGCATAGTAGACCATCTTTG